TTCTATCCTTTTGGCCATAATTGAGGCAAATAACTTATAGTCCATATTCAAAATGGATATTGGCCTATATAAGCTACATTCTCCATTGTCCTTGCCTTCCTTAGGAATTATTGATGTTATTGCCTCGCTCCAAGATTGGGGCATATGGCCTTCCTTAAGGGTGTGGTTAAAGCATCTGAGAAGAAGTGGAGTCAACTCAGGCTTGAATGTTTTGTACCATTCACCAACAAATCCATCTGACCCTGGTGCTTTGTTGGTCTTTAGTCGAGAAACAGCGCCACCCATTTCAGCGGTTATCTCAGCAGTGAGTACATTATTCTGATGCTCTCCTATTGAGGGAAGATCCAGAGATTTTAAGAACTCATTAATTACTGAGTCATCAGCTTTGTCAGGTTGAGTGTATAAGTCCTTATAGTAGGCTTCAAAGGCTTGCTGAATTTCTTCCAGTTTATGGCAGACTTTTTTGTTTTTTGGGTTTCTCATTTTGTAAACAGTTCTTTCAGCTTGTTGCTTACGTAGTCTCCAAGAAAGAAGCTTCATAGCCTTTGGGCCGGTTTCATAATATTTTTGTTTGGTAAACCTAATTTTTTTTCTAATTTTCTTCGTCATAAATCTGATTTATTTCTTGTTTAATACATTTTAGTTGGGCCCATACTTGTTGGTCTCTTTGAGTTGAATGTTGAGTTTCTAGATTCTTCAGTTTTGACTGCAGCTCCGCTAAGTGTTTATGTTTCTCCTTTTTCCTATGGGCTGCAAAGGCTATTAGTTTACCCCTAAGTACTGCCTTCCAAGCATCCCACAGGACATTTAGTGAAACTGTTCCATCATCATTATTTAGCAAGTATTCTTTTAACTCTTCTTTTATATATTCCTTACAAACTCTATCATTCAATAAGCTAGTATGGAGCCTCCATAGAGTATTCTTCCTTTTATTATCTAGATGCAGAGAGAGGTATAGTCCTGAATGGTCTGAGACATCTCTAACACCTATCTTGCATTCACTTATTCTATGTCTATCTGCATCTGAGATAAAAAAGTAATCCAATCTGGAATATTCTGCGACAAGGGGAGTAGTAGGTAAATTGCTTTTCTGTGGGGTGTAGGTCCCTCCATATATCTGTCATACCAAATTCCCTTAGCATTTTCCACATGAATACTGAGTTTTGGTTTCTTCTCTTGTGTAAATTTGTCGAGTCAAGTTTGGGTTGCAATTGGATATTCAAATCACCCCCACAGATTAAAGTTCCTGATGACTCTTGGGTTAATAAGTCAAATATTTTTTTAATAAATGATCTGTCATGCCCTGGTGGCATATATACATTTAACAGAGTGACTTCTTTGTGGTCAATCATGCCTTTCACTAAGATATAGCGACCTTCCTTATCTTTAATTTGAGCAGTTAATTGGAACTGTAACTTGTTTGAAAGTAAAATTGCCACTCCCCTCTTACGCCCAGATTTGAGAGGAAAAAAATGTGTTAATAAACCCCATCTTTTTTTATTTTTTATGTTCTGAGTTAAAGAGATGTCTTTTGCCAAAAAGCCATTTGATTATTTTCCCTTTTAATTTTAGCAATAACCTTGCTCCTTTTCACTGGATTATGTTACCCATTCACGTTAATAAGTGTTATTATCTTATATTCCTGATAGTCCATTTGCTTTGTTTCTTTGTGTCAATAATGGGCTGCTGCAACCTGTAACACCTTACCCTTGAACTTGGGTATAAGCAACTATTGAAATATGAACAATACAGAACACAGTGAGCATACAACAAATTGACTTCAACAATTAGAGAACTTACATGCTCTTTAAAACTGAGGGGAAAGCCTAATTTAACAAAGGGGCCCCTCTTTGAAGTTACAAAAGTTACTTCAATTGACATTGTACTCTACCATGGCAGTCTTTCCACCAGTCCACTCTCCCTCTGTAAACAAACCTGCTTATCTCAATTTAAAAGTCAGTCTTTAAATCAAAGTTAAGAAGGAGGAGGAAGAGAATAACAGTTGTTACGAGTCATTTGCTAATTATCAATTCACCTGACGGGGCTGAGGAAGATCAGACACATTCAGACCCTGAAGATGGGTTAAGATCTCCTGGGGGTCTCCTGGGGGTTGTGGCGGAAAGCGCGCAGTTTCTCTCGGGTGGGATGCTCGTTGGCGACGCTTGTCCCCGACACTTGTCCCCGACGCTTGTCCCCAACCCTCTCCCACCGGGCTCATTTTGGTTGATCGGGAACCCCCTTTTCCGCAGGTTACTCTTGCGTCATTGTAAATCCTGGGTCCACCAACCAAAAACACCTTGAGCTTGGCAGGACGGGGGTCTGGAACCGCACACCCTTCTCCTTAAGCACTCTCCTTATTCCTGCATACTCTCTTCTTTTCTTAACTATCTCCGTCGGGTAGTCGTGGTCAAAATAAACTCTTGTGTCCTTATAAAAGAGCTCCTTCTTCTTCCAAGCAGATGACAGGATCAGTTCTTTAGTTTTATACTCCTGAAAGTTAATTACTATGGAGCATGGCGGAGCTTCCTGTGGTGGTCGTGGGACAAGAGCTCTGTGGCAGCGCTGTATTTTCAGATTGAGGAGGTGGCCAGCTCTGACTTCAGTAATTTGACCACAAAGTCCATCATGTTATTTTCTTCCTCACCTTCAGGTCCCATAAATGCGGATATTATTTCGCTGGGACCAAGCCTCCAAATCTATAATTTTTGTTTGCATGAATTCCTGTTTCTGCTGCATTTGTCGGAGCGAATC